TGATTTTGAATTTTTTATAACCTAGATCTTGAAATTCACCAAATGGATGGTCGAGATTCATTGTTGAATGGGTACTAGTTTTGACCATATCTAGGGTGCAAATTGAAAATTTTGTTTCATAGGATTGATTATGAGGATGAAGAGACTGTGTGTTCAATATTTGGGATCATACAAATGCCAAAACTATGGTTTTCTAGATGTGTGGTTGCATTATTTTACTATACAACCGTTGCATTAGATCATTTCCCTATGTATACGGGGAATGATTTCATGCAACGGTATAGTAGTATAATGCAACCATCTTCAATAACCATGTTAGAGATATTTGTTTGACACAAATTTTTAAATGACACTCTTTTCATTTTGAAGAACAATCACAAAAAGAAAATTATTGAAAAAAATGCTATATAAAGTTTTCATTCTAGCCCAATTAATATAAGTTGTTTATTTTATTGAGATGGTTAGATATAGGCCTCAGAAGGATTTTTTTATTCCCAAAATTTTATATACCATTATCTTCATTAGATTAATAATAAGAAAAAAGAACAAAAAGTGATTTTGAATTTGTTAATGCCTAGATCTTGAAATTCACTAAATGGATGGTCGAGATTCATTGTTAGATGGGTATTAATTTTGACCATATCTAGGGTGCAAATTGAAAAAAAAATTGTAGGATTGATTATGATGATGAATTAGAATGTGTGTGCAATATTTGAGGTCATATAAATGCCAAAAATATAGTTTTCTAGATGTGTAGTTGCATTATACTACTATACAACCGATGTATTAGATAATTTCCCTATGTATATGGGGAATGATTTTATGCAACGGTTGTATAGTAGTGTAATACAATCATCTTCAATAACCATGTTCGAGACATTTGTTTGACACGAATTTTTAAATGTACTCTCTTTTCATTTTGAAGAACAATCACAAAAAAGAAAATTTTGAAACAATGTTATAGAAAGTTTTCATTCTAGACCAATTAATATAGGCCGTCCATTTTATTAAGATAGTTAGACATAGGCCTCAGAAGGATTTTTTTATTCCCAAAATTTTTATACAGCGTTATCATCATCAGATTAATAATGCTAAAAAAGAAAAAAGTGATTTTGAATTTGTTAAGGCCTAGATCTTGAAATTCACCAAATGGATGGTCGATATTCATTGTTGGATGGGTATTAATTTTGACCATATCTAAGGTGCAAAATGAAATTTTTTTCATAGGATTGATTATGAGAATGAAGATAATGTTTGTGCACTATTTGGGGTCATACAAATGCCAAAAATATGGTTTTCTAGATGTGTGGTTGTATTATACTACTATAAAACCGTTGTATTAGATCATTTCCCTATGTATATGGGAAATGATTTCATGCAACGGTTGTATAGTATACACAAGTATGGAAAGTGATTTTTGAAAGGGTGAGGTTTGTATAAGGTAGCAACCTTAAACAATCAAAGTAAGGTGCACCCCAAATTTTATCATAAGATGTAATTTTGGTGTCAAATTTTTTTAAGATTGCTTTAGAATCTATTTTTATATCTAATTATAAAATTTTAGACTCAAAAAATGGTTCAAATGAAGTAGATCTATAAACACATGAAAATCTTAAAAATGGATGGATGTATTCCAAGATGCACTAATTTTGAAACTTAAAATCATTGTTTTTTCACACATTCATACATCTCAAGGTGATCAATTAGCGGGTTTTACAACTTCAAAAAAGCTTTTTACGATGGAGTTTTTAGATTCAATTAATTCTACATGGTTGCAACCTTATATAATCTGTTTCCTTACTAAATTTATCATCAATGAGAATGTGCAATAGTGATTGAACCTGTCTTTAATAACCGAAAAATATCGAAAAGGGGTTGAAACCCCTTAAATATCATTAAAGGAGTTAAAAGAGGACAAATTACAAATTGTCCGGCAGAAAAATTTGGGGTAATTTTAACTCCAAGTACGTACTTTTGTCATTCGACTTAAAGCATCTTTTGTAGTAAAATGACGAAGGTAACCGTACTAGACTTCCCAACACTAAACAATGACAAATTGGAAAAATTTTAATATTTTTCAAGAGGAAATACCTTATTGATATAGAAATTTGAAAGCAAATGCGTTAGTGTAATTTATAATATTTTAACCCCTTTTGTAACATTTTAACTCCTTTAATGATATTTTAAAGGATTAATCCTTTTTTTTAATATTTTCCCCTTTAATAACATATGTCTCTAAGCACTACAAATTTTAGAACTTCTTTGAAACCAGTGTTTGAAAAATTCCCCGATCTGGATCAAAATCGTGCGATCGGCCAATTATACAATGAAATTCCCCGATCTTGATCAGAATCGTGCGATCAACCGGTTACACAATGAACTGATTTTAGTTTAAAGATTTTTACTCCTGTAATGATATTTTAAGGGGTTTCAACCCCTTTTTTAATATCGTTCTTTTTAATAACATATGTCTCCTAACACTACAAATTTTAAAACTTCTTCAAAACTAATGATTGAAAATTCATCTATCCAGATCACACGTTTGGCCAATTACAATTTTTTATTTAAACATTTTAATTTGAAAAGCAAAACCAATTGTAGAATTTCACTAAAAATTTTTAATTTGAAAAGCGGATGGCAGCTGACACACCACACATTTTAATATTTCAATAACAAGTCCCTACATTTTTCAAAATAAATTTCAGCATAAGTGCCTCGATCAGCACCTGCTAGTTGAGAATGAGGAGCAACGTTTTTTATAGAACTATTTCTTTTACACAACAACGGCTTCTTCTTTTATGAAAAGATTATTCCATTTATATTGCCAAAATGAAACACAATTTTTTCCATCAAATAAAAAACCATATGGAAATAAAATAAATAATATGTAAACATAGGAAAAAGCAAGAGCTTGATGCATTAAATTTGTAAACTTGAGGAAAAAACATTTAAGTTAGGAAAAAGTTTATATAGAGCCGAGGCTCTAAACAATCAAATTAGTGCCCACCTCAAAATTTTCACTAAAAAAGGTTGTTTTGATGCCCAAATATCCTTAAATTGATCATCTCGACATCAAGATGCATGGACATAAGAAGAAATGGATTTCAAGTTTTGGAAATCGTGAATCTTGTAATTCATTGTTTGACCGTCAATTTTCAAGTTTTCGTAGATCTGCTCAATCTACACTATCTTTGAAGCTTTAAATTTTATAATTAAAGATGAAAATATATTTTAAAGCTATTACAAAGATTTTCAGTATTGAAACCCCATTTCTCAAGACTATTTGAAAGTGCGCTTAACTTTGATTGTTTAGAGCCTTGGCTCTATACAAACCGCATCCTTTAAGTTTTCCAACAAACTCAAATTGTTTTCAACATTTTACTGGGATCTTGTAAGGGCCCATGTTTCTCTACTAAGGGCCATAACTAAAACTGATAGAGAGAGAAGTTATCTTGAATAAGAATTTTAGATTTTGGGAACCCAAGAATATTTAATAATCAACATATATCCTAAGAAACAACATCTCAATAATCACGCGTTTTTATAAAATAATAAAAGTACGTAATGCACCATCTTAAATTTGTAAGAAACTTAAAAGATACTATTTTTAGAGTTTCTTTGAAATTTTTTGAGGCCATCCACTCCGAATCGTCAATCCACCTATCCGACCTGATTTGATTTGTTTTAAAAAAGGTGAGATTTGATTTGTATTAAAAATAAGAAGATAATCCAAATCCAATTTCTACGGGTTAAGAAATCTTAATTGTAACATTAGTTAACCGTATGGACCTTTTCCTTTCTATATAAAAAATTCCATATCCACCTATGACCACATTATATATAAATGTGTTCAAAATATATAATTTATTATCCTTCTAAAAATTACATGCCAAATTAGAAATAAAAGAAATAAAAATGAAATAAGAGCATAAATACTAAGTATAGGATAAAGGAAAATTGGTCATCACGTAATATTATATATTAATATTAGTTATCACATATTTGGAACATTTGTCATTACATGCTATTAACTATTTTCCCATCTCTCACTATATATTTTTTAGGAAAGGATACCGCATAAATATATTCCTCTATATCTATCATTCTCAATAAAAATTTAGGGAAACCATTATATCTCTCTTTTTATATCTATCTGTCTCTAGCTTTGTTTTCCTTTATCTAACTAATTCCTATTTAAATTTCTAAAAATTGAAATCTCTATCACTCTTTTTAAAAATAAGGGAACTATAGTACTCTCTCTTTATATCCATGCACCTCTCTAACTCTGTTGGTTTCTCAATATAATTGTTAGGATTATGCGGGCCCCCCATTAAATCATCTTAGAAATGGAGTTTTAATCTAAAATCTGACGTTAAGTTGATCGTGAACATGCAAAAGTAATAATAAAATTGATATGTAAAATGTGATTTTTTGAAAGCATACGAGCCCTATGATTTTTTTTTACAATGTCAATCTTAGATATGAACGTTGGTGAGTCAAGGGACTCTTGCACCTGCTGAATCGTGAACTAAATTTCTTAATTATTAACTTATTCACATGTGCATTTTTATTAATTTGAGATTTTTCTAAGATTTTTCTGCTGGTTCTAACTCAATATCGGACTGGTTCGGCAACTCATCTGGCTTCTTAAACACACGCTCCTATCCGGATTATTAAGGACCAAATATCAGAAAAAAGAACAAAATTAATGTAGAATTGTAGAGAAGGACACGGTTAGCATGCGGGCCAAGCCTGCAAATTAAAAAAATGCGGCACCTCTTAACTATCTATTTTTTATAGATTTTTGGACTTAATTTTTAAAGATGTGTAATCGATGAGAACATACATCAATTTAAAAATTAGAAATAATAATTTCATTAAAAAAGATTTAGACAGTTATTTTTTATTATTTTTAAATGGGCCACCTGGATGCTTTACACTTCTGGACTGCATATGTAGAAATGCGGTCCAGCCCGCATGATTTTCACTCCCTTACTTCATCCCTCTCTGTGATGTTGTAATGGATTAAGCCAGCCAAAAAATGGCGGTTTCTTTCTCTCTTTACCTCAACCAAACACTCCCTAACGCCCAGCCCACCTCAAACGCAAAACCCATTTCTTCCTCTCGCCTCCAAAATCCTAAAGCCCTTTTGAACCAATGCAAAACCATTAGAGACCTGCAACAAGTCCACACCACCATCATCAAAACCCACAGCCATGATCCCCCTCTCTTTGAAAACTTCCTGGAGCTCTGCTCGTTCTCTCTCAACAATGGCTTTCCCTACGCCCAACTGGTTTTCAGTCGAGCTGAGAACCTCCGTGCTTCCTCCTATAACATCATGATTCGCGCTTATACTTCAAGGCGTGCCCCAAGAGAAGCTCTCTCTGTCTTCAAAGAGATGTGTGAGAAAGATATCCAACCAGATGAATACACTTTTCCATGCATCCTCAAGGCCTGCTCTCAAGCCTGTGCTTTGAGAGAAGGCATGGCAGTCCATGCCCAAATCTTAAAGAATGGCGAAAGTTCGAATGCCTTTGTTCGAAACACGCTGGTCCATATGTATGGCAAGTGCGGAGATCTCACTGTCGCTCGAAAGCTGTTTGATGAAATGACTGACAGGAGTATAATTGCTTGGAATTCGATGTTTGCTGTCTATTCGAAGAGTGGGAAATCCAAAGAGGTGGTGAGATTGTTTCAGAGCATGAGAGAAGATCGTGTGAGGCCCGATGAGGTGACCATGATTTGTGTTCTTACTGCTTGTGGCAGGTTGGGTGCCCTTGAATTGGGCAAATGGATTCATGGTTATCTTATGGAAAATGGGTTTTTGCTATCTCGCAATTTGATGACTGCAATTGTTGACATGTATGCAAAATGTGGTCTCTTGGATATTGCTAGAAATGTTTTTGATGAAATGCCTAAAAAAGATGTTGTAGCTTGGAGTGCAATGATCTCTGGTTATAACCAGGCTAGTCGTTGTAAAGAGGCACTGGCTTTGTTTAGAGAAATGCAAGTTACGGAGGTTCAGCCTAATGAAGTCACCATGGTTAGTGTTCTCTCTTCTTGTGCAGTTCTTGGAGCTCTTGAAGCTGGAAAATGGGTCCATTACTATGTAGACAAGAAGAAACTTAAGATGACAGTCACTCTTGGAACTGCATTAGTAGACTTTTATGCAAAGTGCGGTTCTATCGATAAGGCAATGGAAGTTTTCAATGAAATGCCGGAGCGTAATGTCTTGTCTTGGACTGTGATGATACAAGGTCTTGCAAGTAATGGGCAAGGGACACGAGCTCTTGCACTCTTTTCTCAAATGATCGATGAGAAAATCGAGCCTAATGATGTTACCTTTATTGGGGTCCTCTCAGCTTGTAGCCATGCAGGGTTGGTGGAAGAGGGCAGGAGATACTTCAATGCCATGACTGTTGAATATGGAATTATGCCTGTAATTGATCATTATGGATGCATGGTTGATATCCTTGCACGAGCAGGACTGATCGATGAGGCGCACCAGTTTATCAAGTGCATGCCCATTGAGCCTAATGCTATAATTTGGAGGACTTTGCTTGCTAGTTGCAGAGTTCATGGCAATGTGGAAATAGCTGAGGACTCTCTACGACGGCTTAATAGAATAGACCCCGACCATAGTGGAGATTACATACTCTTGTCAAATGTATATGCATCGGTAGGGAGATGGGAGGATGCATTAAGAGTGAGGTCAGAGATGAAGAAGAGGGGGATTAAGAAGACTCCTGGGTGTACCTTAATTGAGGTGGATGGTGTGATTCATGAGTTCTTTGCGGAGGATTCCTCACACCCATTGGCTAAGGATATTTATGCCAAAGTAGGAGATATGATTGAGAAAATCAAATTAGTGGGTTATGTACCAAACACTGCAGAGGCTAGACTTGATGCCGATGAGGAGGAGAAGGAAGTTTCAGTCTCTCATCATAGTGAGAAGCTGGCGATTGCCTTTGGGCTTATAAGAACACCACCAGGGACCACAATACGTATTTCGAAGAACCTTAGAGTTTGTACTGATTGCCATACTGCCACTAAGATTATCTCAAAGGTTTTTGATAGAGAGATTGTTGTTAGGGATCGGAATCGATTCCACCATTTTAGAGGTGGTTCATGTTCTTGTAATGATTTTTGGTAAGTCATCCTTGTTTCTGCCATTTATGAGTTTTGGATGTAGACTTTCTACCATGGTTCATATTCTTTGTTGTGCATATTGTAAAATCATTGTCTGTCAACTGTAAAGATTTATACTGCTGCCTCAACATCTGTGGTGTGAAACATTGATAATTTGTTTCGGCTTGAATTATTGAGAAATTCTCAAAAGGTATTTGGAGTTTTTCTTCTTTTCTTCTCTCTCTTTTATTTTTTTGGATTTGTTATATTGTGCTATCATTTGGCTTTCAAATGGGTCATAACACATCATGCGATAAGGCTCGGATGATGATGAAGTTATTTTTGTTTGGAGCTTTCTTTTTTAACTTGATTTATAATTACAATATTTTTTTTTCCATTCTCGTGAACTACTCTTTATTTCGATCCTTGAGGGCCAATTTCTCCAAGGAGTGTTGTATGGCGCAACTTGCTAGTGTCAATTACCAATTACCTCAAGAATGACACGAATTCAAAGAGCCTTAGAATATTGCTAATGATTTATGTGCATGTAGAATGGGCAGAGGACAATCATGTGGGTACACAGATTGAGGAATGTTCAACAATGACCACTGTCCTCTATATGCCATTGTGCTCATATTATTTATGTAGGTAAAATGGGCAAGAGTGAGGTTTTAAGAGCCTTAGAATATTGCTAATGATTTATGTGCATGTAGAATGGGTTGAGGACAATCATGTGGGTACACAGATTGAGGAATGTTCACAACAATGACCACTGTCCTCTATATGCCATTGTGCTCATATTATTTATGTATATAAAATGGGCAAGAGTGAGGTTTTTTCCATAGAAAATATTCATTAGCTTTTCAGAAATCCAAGATTTATATGTCATCATCGTTGAAGTTTTTTTCCAACTAATTGAGATCAGCTCCAATATTTATATATATAAAAGAAAAAAGAAATGACTCTGCTTTTTTGAAAGTTATAATACAATGGGGGGATATGATGTCTCATGAAAACAACAAACATGTAACTTGTTAAGAGAAAAAGGGGTAAACCATTGAAGGACAAATAGCTCAAAGGGCACGCAAACCATCAGGTTGGGAAGGGTCGGAGTTTAAATTAAAATATAATATATATATATATATATATATTTAAAAACATATATTTTTTAAATATATGTTTGTGATATGTAAAAACTATGAGTCATATTTTTGTTTTAGACATAAATATCAGGTCAGGTTGACCCCAACCCAGACACAACCCTATCGAATAAGATCCCGAGTGGCTCGAACCCAACCCATCCAGTCCGGTATTTGGGTCAAGGCCCAACCCAAGTCGGATCCAGGTCGACTCCTCGACCGACTGTCAACCCTAGACAGCAAGATTCTTTATATTGGGTCGAAATATTAGAATTACCCTTCTATTTTGAGTAACTTCTCATTGTTTGAACTTTTTGATGCCCATGGTTTATGAATTGTATTGCTAATAATTAGTTGTAGTACATGAGGAAATTATTATTGTGCTCTATGGTTAAAATACAATGATGCCTTGAATAAGGACAAATCTCATAAAATGTTGGAATAAGTGTCTGGTGCTTCAGAGGTATATATCTATCAACTATTTACAATGGACGATCTGCAATCGATGGTGGAGATCACAACCAAATCTCGATTTTATTGGCGCTATGTCCACCGTCCCTAGACACAATCCAATAACTAACACAATCCAAAAACTAAGTCCCATGACCCATAAAAACACGTATCTTACGATACTCCAAATCAAGGTTTTAAAATATAGTCCAGTTACCCGGATCTCCCTCTTGAAACCCAGTATGGATCAGTGATCCGGCCTAGTGAAATAGTGATAAAAAATTTTTAAAAAATAAGGAATAAAAAATTTGAAAAAATATTACAAATTAATTGGGACCTACAGAACCGGCCAGTGTAGAAACCGGCTGGTTCCCAATATTTAATGGGATCAAAATCGGCTTGACCATTTCCTGATTTTTAAAATAGGACGGTTCCCAATGTTTAGTGGGTTCTAGATTGGTTTGACCAATTTCCAATTTTAAAACCTTGCTCCAAAATGATGAAGGTTGTGATTTGTTGGGTTCGAATTCAATATTCCATGTCCAACAAGCTACACCGGCATGGGACATTAACTACGTCCAAGAGAGAGTTTGTGAACCAAATAATATCGTTTCGGTGTCAAAAATTTCTATGATGCCTTAAGAATGTATTTTCGCCCTTAATTATGAAATTTAAAGGTTAAAAATAGTGCAGATCCGATTGATCTCTAAACCCAAATAATGTGTTACAAGGCCCGTTGCCTCTAAAAATGGAAGATGACAAAGATAGAGGAATTATGTGACTGAAGAAACACAGGCATTTGTGTTATTTGGTATATAAAATTCTTATAAAAAATATACTTGAAATTAACTCCAATATGTTGAAACTAGTGATTTAAAAACCTGAACAGTGATTCAGATTGGCCACCCAAAAACCAGTCTAAGTCGCCGTTTTACTCTTTGGAGAAAATAGTGAACCAAGGAAAAACACATTAAAAAACAGTTAACATGCCAAAAATCAGTTCGGACCGGTGAATCAAAAGTCTGGATCGCCATTTTATTGTGTGGAACCGCTGGTTCTCTTCTAGATTCAACTGTTTTTCTATATATATGCAGAACCAGAACGGGGTGACCAATTCCTGGGTTGGACTGGGCGATTTGCGCCTATCGGCATTTTTTAAATCACTAGTTGAAGTCATTCATCCCTTTTTCTCTATCATTAACTTTCGAGTGTTCGTACTTGAGTTGTAGAAGATTGTAAAATCATCATCGCTAAGAAGCTCAAATATTTTCATTGTATAAATCAAGAAGAGAAGTTTGGTAAATAGTTGTTTGGTAAGAGAGAGAAAGGGAAGAACTAAGAAAACACATCTCCTTACCCGGGCCATGTTCGGAGTTGCAGAGAAGCACGCTGTTTTGGAGTTGCAACACAGTAACTAACACCTTCAAAAAATAATGTCTACATTATTTAAGTGCTTATTTAAGTCCATAAATAGATTTAACTAATTTACAAATTTTGTTATTATGATATGGTATTACAAGTCCTTCGGGTTGTTCCATATATATTTCTTCATCTAAGTCACCATTTATGGAAGCCGTTGCTACATCCATTTGATGTATAGCTAGCTAGATGGTAGATAGAGGCTATTGCTAAAAGCAATCTAATAGTAGCAATTATTGCCACATGTGCATATATGTTAAAATAACTAATGCCTTCTTTTTGTTTAAATCCCTTAGCAACTAATCATGCTTTATATTTATTAATAGAACCATCAAAATTCATTTTTCTTTTAAAGATTCATTTTGTTGTGGGATATAAGAAGCAGTCGCTTGATGAATAATTCCATTATTTCACAAAAATGATTAAATTCATTTGATAAATATTCTTCGTCCCTATCACTTCTAATAATTTTAATTTTCTTACTAAGTTGATTCTCAACTTCTACTTCGAAAACTTTAAAGATTTCAAAAGTCTCATATTTATATCTAAGTAAATACACATAAGTATATCTAAAAAAATTATTAATAAAAATAATGAAATATCTTTTACCACCTCTTGTTAGAAGATTATTTAAATCACATATATCATTATGTATAAGTCCTAACAATTCATTATTTCTCTCTAGTGAAGGAAATAGTTTTCTAGTTACTTTAGCTCATGCATATACTTCACATTTTTATTTAGATTAATCATTACAATTAAAAATTAATCCTAATTTAACCAAATAATTAATAGAAGTATAATTAACATTCTTAATCTATCGTGCCACACATTAAAATAAGTCACAATATAAGTAAAAGATTTGTTTATTCCATTCATGACATTAAATTTAAACACCCCATCACAATATCATTTGCCAACAAACACACAATTTTTTGTCAAAATGAGACCCAATGACCATTTTAAAGCCCTTCTTGTTCACGATACATCTCGAGACAAGATTTCCTCTCATATCTGATATGTAATAAATATTTTTCAAGGTAAATACCTTGCCCAAACTAAAGTTTAGTTCCACCGCACTATTTTCATGCATTTTATTCATAGCTTGGGTTCCAAGTTGAACTGAATTTCCATCACCCATTTGTTCAAAGGATTTAAACTGATCTCGATTATTAGAGACATGAATGGTAGTACCAGTATCGACCCACCATCTATTATCTTTATTAATCGTGTTTACTTTAGTGACCATTGCTACAAAATTTTCATCAGTGGTCACGTTCACTTGGCCTTGGCCTATTAAACCCTTCCCAGTATCGACACTCTTGAATAATGTCACAGGTTTCCATATACATAACAAGAAGCTTTTTTTTTTATTTTGTTGGCATTGAACTTTTGGTCCTTATAATTTTCATTATGGACCATAGGAAAGAAATGCTTCTTGTACTATAGAGCACTTGATTTTTGCTCAACAACGTTTGGCTTAGTATGAAAATCAATAGTTTCATCTTTCTTTGCTCGAAGTCCGTTCTCTGCTTCAATTCGAATAGATCTTTGAAGTTGAATCAAATCAAAATCCACTTCTTATGTTTCATTTTCATGTGATACTCTTTCCAAGATGGGGGTAGCTTATGAATAAATCTTCAATTTGAAGAGATCTTTGAAGCTTATCAAATCAAAATCCACTTTCTTATGATTCATTTTATTGTGATACTCTTTCCAAGATGGGGATAGCTTTTGAATAATAGAGCCTACTAGAATAAATTCATTCAATGAAATATTACAATTTTTAAGTTCATTGACTACAAGCTGTAATTTATATACTTGATAAAGAACTGGGTTGTTTTCAATGAATTTAAAGTTTAGAAAATTAAAGATGACAAATGTTTTGTCACCAGATTCTTCAGTGAGGTATTTGGGTCCAAGAAACTTCCATAGTTGTCTCGTCGTGGCAACGGATGCATACATGTCATAAATCGGATGCGCCAAAGTGTTGAGGATGAGACCTTTACAAATATAGCCATCCTCCATCCATCTTCTGTATCCTTGAATTTGTTTATCAGTCGATTCATCAAATGTTGGCAATGGTGCATGCATAGATTCAGTAATTATGTAAGCCACCTTGAGAGTAATAAGCAAGAAGATGACCCTCTGTTGCCATCTTTTGAAATTCAACCCGTTGAAGTGCTAGAGTTTCGATAAATCATTGTTCATGACTTTCAAAGAACTCATGGCCATCTCCTTTCCTTCACCTATGAAATATCGTCTTGAATTATTAGAAAATTGGTAGGTGAAATAGGGAAAAAAATAAGTACAATTTCATAAATTCAAAGGCTTGAGCCCTTCTTGTTTTTTAGCACACAAGAACACTATCTCAAGACGATATTTGCCCCTACAGTATTTTGTGTGCATAAGAAGGGTAATTCTTCCTTGGGATACAAGAAAACAGAGATGCTTTTTGATGTTCCTAAGCTCTATGCACCTGAGCTTGGAAGCCACACACTAGACACCAGAGTCTTGATATTTTAGAGAGAGAAAGAGATAAAATCGAGTAGAGAGAGAGAAAGAGAGGTTAGCTCACTAGTATTGCTCCTTAGAATTGCAAAAAAAGGTGTGTAGTTGAGGAGCTCAAATAGTGTTCAAGTGTCTAACTCGTATGGGTAGGAGGGCCCTTATTATAGACAACCAAGCAGCTGCCTATTTAGCGTAGTTGTGGTTACATGCACCACCAACAGCTGCAAGTTACATATACTTGCTCATTGGGTATAGTGGTGGATAAATGCACCACCAACAGCTGCAATTTACATGCACTTGATGGTAGTTGTTACTAGCCTTCATTTTATCAACAGCTAGATGACCGTTGGATGCCCCACATGCATCAACGACTAGATGAGTGTAAAGTGCACCATCAAGCGCCCATACACTCGCCCTCTCACATGCACACGCATGTGAGTGTGTGTCGCAGGCTTCGCGTCCTCCACACATGTACCATCTTTCTCACCTTGTACTAAGAGTATATAGCATGTGAATGCCTAATATTAAATATTGTTCATATAACTCTCTTACCTTCAATCTGGGACAAACCCACAGCTTTCTTTCTCTCTAGAAATAGCTTAGGAAAAAACCACAAAACCATATTTGTTGTTTTGAAATACATATAAGTATTTTTCAAACCAAAATACCAACATGTGTAATAACTTGTCAAAAATATGGTCCATTCTCTATGGGCAAGGTGAAGATCTAGAGGCTCATGCAATAACATTCTTGGAATCTCCTTCAACAATTATAGCACGTTTGGTTCGCGTGAAAAAAATTCCTGAAAAATATTTTCGCATGAAAAAATTTTCTCATGCGGTTAAGTGATGAAATATTTTTGTATCAATCAGTTGCCAATTGGTATGAAAAGATGCAATAAGACTAATTGGTATGAAAATACTCCCACATTTAACCCTATGAGATAATTTTTCACGTGAAAATGTTTTCTAGAAAATATTTTTACGCGAACCAAACATGCTACAGGAAGGGCCCCAAGTGCGATTGAAGTTCCTTACGCCAAAGAGGAGGGTTGTGGGGAATGGGGTTGAGGTCGTGGTTGTTGCACCACTTGAGCCTCAACTACCGATTTAGGTTTCCATTCCCCCTTGCGTGTTAAAAAACCACTAATTATTCTAAAAATGCCTAGGGACCTATATTCCCCACTTATCTACCCAAAAAAAAGAGGAAGGTTATGCCCTCCATTGTGTTAGACTCTGCTTGGCCGATAAAGCGAGAATAAGAGAACATGGTGCAGCCGTCCTTGTCTCGGAAGATAACCCTGATGCAAAATGGGCTGGATTGCCTAAACAGCCACCATCAAAGTTGAGCTCGGATCGGCCACAGTCCAGAGGTCTCTACAAAGACATACGAGGGATACGAAGGATAGGAAAGAGAGCATTGCTCGCCAGTTTTAGTGGAAGTCCATAATTGAGCAATGCTTGAAAGGTTTATTGTTTAGTGGCCAAAAGATGACCAGGGAGCGAACCTTTCCTGTAGGGCATCGAAATGAGTCACCTCGCTGTTTCTCCCCAACCGAATCATCCAAAAGAGCAGCTTTCCACAGGAGGATACCCGGACTTAGGCCATGGGGAAGAGAGGAAGGACAAGAACAGTTCTTGTCAAAAAGGACAAGAACAGTTCTTGTCAAAAAGGACAAGAACAGTTGAGGGAAAGACTGTGGAGTTGCTCATGACCTTCCGAAGGTCACCCCAAACCTCTCCGGCAAGGTCCTTATGGATGCAGAGGTGGCGTTGGATTTAGCTCCATTGCGGCACATGATACAACGATTAGGAATCTGCATCCCCCCTCCTTTGTAATTTGTCCAGAGTCAAAAACATGTTCAGAGATAGCAATCCAGATGAAAAATTGTCCACGGTCTAAACACTTTATCATTTCTTTGTTACGATCGTTTTCCCATTTTGCTGCTCCTTTACTTTTCCCTCGATCCTCGTCTTTAACTTTGCTCATTTCCTCAATTTTGGCTTTATGTTACACACTTTAAAACATGTACTTTCTTTACTTTTTCTAAGAAAATATATACCACTTCTATGCTTGGGAACGATCCCTTTGGACCTTACACATTCAAGAAACGTGAAATCTCTGTCCCCCCGCTCGCTCTCTTTCTCTCTCTCTCAAAATGAAAGGTGAGCCCCCCCCCTCTCCCTCTCTCTCTTTCTCTCTCTAGAAAGAATGAAGAAATAAATTCGAGCCCAATATCCTCCGTCTCTCCCTACATAGGTGGGAGTTCAATTTGCTTCCTCAATCAATGAAGAGAAGTGACCTTGAGTTGCTCTCCCCCTCTCTCTCTCTCTCTAAAGAAGTGTGAGTTGTCTGCTTCCTCTCTCATTGAAAAACAGTGAGCTCAAGTTGCTCTCTTTCTTTCCGTCTCAATTTTGAAAGAAACACCAGAATGTTTTTTTAACATCATGCAATTGGAAAAGATGGGGGCACATTGGTCTTCTTAAAAGATGTGGGATAATCATGTGCTTCCTTTCCCCTTAATCAAAAGTTAGTGAGTCCCAAACATTGGAATTCATGAAAAGAAAGATTGTAAGGGTGTGAGGCCCATCCCCGAATAATTTTTCAGTGATTCGTAAGCAGAGTAGTCACTGCAATAGCCATGACCACTTGATTTCCGAAACAGAACTGAAAACTACCACTAGCTCAGAATTGAAGAAACAAAGTCCTTGCATTATGGATGAGGTGCATATTGGGAAGAGGCAAAACAATATTTCTTTAGTGGTTGCTCAAAGATAAGCACTGCTTCTATAATAAATTTTTGGATAAAAAAAATTAACAGTTGATGCAAACGCATCTGTACATACAGGTAAATTTTTATTGACGAGGTTCCTTTTTTTCTTCTCCGGGGAGGGGACAGGTGGTGTTTGTAAACCCACTGCATAGAGGGCTGAGAGTAGGAACATGTCCATTCGACCAGGCCTCGAACACATCTCAAAACTTCAACTTTCAAGCGCAAAGGAGGAAAACTTTCTCCTGATTCCTAGTGACTTCTTCATGATCTCTTTTCTGATCTCCCTTCATGAGATCTCTTCTCCTCAGCTTCTCTTCTCTTCTGTTGCCTGTGACCCAAACCAAGAAAACATGAAAGAGAGAGAGAGAAAGAGGTCTCTTCTTGAACCCAGAAGAGGTCCAGAACTATCTACTTTTGGCCTATTGTCCTATTCAATGGGATAAGGACAATGACAGTCTAGCATATGGGTTAATAAAAAATGTAATCATTAACTTGTGAGATTTATTACAATTAACAATTAAAAATAAATAAAAAAATTGTGACGCTCATTATTAACTTCAAATAGATGTACAGTTAGAATCCGAATTTAGCTCACAACCCAAGACATGTTATTCTTGCCTCCCTGCCTCATACAAACACAAGGTAAAATTATTTATCCACCACATCAATTCAAGATAACACTTCATGATCCTCCACCCTCTCCTCGAATTTCACCAACAAAGCACACATAGCATCTATAACCATGATATGAGCAGGAATAACTCAGCGGAAATAATTAACATGCCTAGCCTTTCCGTTTGGGGATAATAACCTAGACTATATTCTTTTTCAAGTAATTGACTATATTGTTCTAAAAAATTATAAGTATAAAAGATATGCAGACTGCATATTGTTGTTTCTGGAGGGGGCAGGGACCCATGGCAACCTATCTACCAAGTATGGGATATACTGAGATAAACAGAACTTGAACAATAACAAATCTGGTATTTTGGCAACCACAAGGCTCGTCCTGAACTTGTTTAGTGAAAAGAGGGAAAAAAGATTCCTCTTAAACTTGGGGGAATGAACCACCAGACGACAAAGACTAATGGGTTTTCATCATCTTCTTCTTTTTCTTTTTTTTTTTTTGGGGGTGGGGGGGGGGTGGTGTGTGTGTGTGTGCGCGTAGGGGGTGGGGGGGGAAGGGGGGGGGGTAGTGGGTTTCTATATATTTTATAGTATTCTCACTCTGTAAATCAGTTTTTTTATTGTTCGATTTTTCTATTGTTTCCTTTATCCTTTCTCAATCTGGAGTTATTTTTATTCTTGATAATATGACTTTTCGATTGCACGAAACCGGTTTCTTCTCGTTTAAGTGTATGTCATCCGTGCAAAGCTTGGATCTTTTATTCTTCATGAGATGATGGATCTTTTATTTGCATCATCTTTAATGCAACCCTTTTATTTATGGATTTTCTTGGGTGACTTACTCGATTTACGGCTTTTTTTAGTGTATTTATGGCCGTTTTTGGGCTATTTTTTTTGTGGCTGTTAATTCTGATTTGATGGGTTCTTATAATGTTATTCCTGATATGTGGGCTCCTATACTATTTTTTCTGATTTTCTGGCTTACTCTTGTAATGTTTTATTTTTTTGTGTGTTCTTATATTGTTTATTGACGAGAATATTGGCATGTGGGTCTCTAGTTCTAGAATATTATGGTTGCCAAGTTCTCTTGGATAATGGGAAGTAGGGTCTTGAGAAAATTAATATCTTATAACTGGACTCAAGAACTCATGACCCAACACCTGTCATTCTCATAAGTAATTCAAGTTATTTGCAGCAAAATTGGTTAAGTAATTTTACATGGTTTCGTTCTTCTCTTAGATCTCTGTTATTACCACCTTCTCTTAGAGTCGAAATGTCTCGAACTTTCCACATGCATGTATGAACTGTCTTGCATTGATCTGGATTTTGTTGATTCTATTGGAAGCCTCACTATTTGAGAACGAGTATGTGGGTCTTTAATGAGAAAAATGAGACTTCTTGAACTTGTTATTGAATGCTTGTTCGATTATCTATTATTTTGAATACTACACTAGATCATCATGTATTAGAACCTTCTTCTCTCTAGGATCTAAATCTTAGGATGTCTTCAAACAATAACAAGGAAGAAAATCTTAGGAAGAGTAAGAAACTCAAAGCAGCCTTGCCGCGTCTTGTGGCTGTGGAGTATGTCAATAGACCTATTCCTTATAGGGTTATCGCCTATGAGAAAAGATGACAACATTGTGACCACCGGCATCAATTGTCATAACCAGATATAGATAGAAATGTGTAATTTCGAAATAGCTTAGAACATGGATTCTCAATATCGATACATTGTGGACTTTCAGCTAAAGTGTATCATGCTCTATAATTTGTGAATGTCTAATTATGGTATGCTTTTAATAATCATCAAAAACATTGAGAGTGAGAGATAGAAAGAGTTTAAAGTGTTTCATCCTCTGTAAATTTACAATGTTATTCTATAGCGAGTTTTTTTAGTAATCGTCAATAACGAGTAGAGAGAGATTGAGAGTATCAAAATTCTACCATAAAATGATCTAAAAAAGATGATATGAACTGTCTAATTTATTTAACATATTGTAGATGTCTTATTTCTATATACTACTTTGGAATCAACGACTTATGAAATGAACAGCTAAACTGGTTCAACAGCAAACTGCCAAAACTTGGTTTCCACCTTAGTGGAGCCAAACAGGGGATTTGTTATATACCGGGTTCTTCCAGCAGCTACACAAACAGCATTGTTGCTAAACCAGGTTTTAAATATACAAAATATCACATAACCAGGTTTTGAGGCATATCCAGGATATGTGTATCCAGGGACCCAAATGACCCATCAAGGTGCGCATACAACAATCCTGACCATAGGGAGCTTATAGCTATCAAAATCCCATACTTCCAATCCCACTCCCATTCCTGATTCCACTCCCTATCCCAACTGCTATGATTTCGTCACCATGGAGGGGTCACTGGAAAGTTGATTTCCAAATTACTGCATCACCTTTGAGTTCCACTGCTCTAGCAACTATTGTATTAGGGTAGCAAGCTAAGTTTAGTAGGGTAGGCCACCAGCCTGGTAGCATTTTAGTCCTTAACAATAGATCCTTTCAAAAGCGAACTCTTTCACCATTTCTTGACCTAAATCTCACATTTCCCTTAAATAGCTCCCTCGCACGACTAATGCTTTTCCATGCTCCAGATGCTCGATGAGGGGGCATTCGGGAATCAGACTGAGTCATCTATACTGTACCTTAATGACCTCCCATCTAAGGTGATCCTCTTGCATGGAATACCAACACCACCACTTACAGAAGGGGGCCATATTTGCCTATTTCAACCTATGATCCTTAAGTCTCCAAATTTTTTGTGTCCACAAACCTTCCCCATGCTTCATGGTGAAACTTGCGGCTATCTTCCTATCCCAAAGGAAATCTTGCATCAGCTTTTGCAGCCTAGAGGAAACCAAGGTTCGCATGTGGAACATTGACATTTTCAATATGAGGATATTAAAGAGCATCGCTTTGCACCAATTGGCGATAGATGAAAAAAAGTATACTTAAGTGGGCTAGCCATATGTGGTGCAGACCCAGTACAGTACCTGTTAGGAGGTGAGAGTTAGTTCAAGTGGAAGGCTCAAAAAGGGCAATGGGTAGGCCCAAAAAGACACGGTTGGAAGAAGTGAGAAAAAATACAGAGTCTTATGGCCTCACTGAGGGTATGGCCCTTAATAGAGCAAAATGGCAGACCAGGATTCGTGTAGCCGATCCCAATTAGTTTGGAAAAGGCTTTGACGATGATGTTGATGAGAGAGCGCTGCTCTGATTAAGGTCATGCAGGCCCCAAAAGAAAGGGTGCATCCCTTCCATGTTACCAACCAGCAATGGAAGCATTCAACAATTTGGTCCGAAAGAAACTTTCTAGGTTGGCCTATGCATAAGGGAAGGCCTGCGTATTAGGATGGAAGTATCTCAACCCAAACTAGTCGCTAGAGATATTCCTAAAGGTCCACAATCTAATCTCAATCTCTGTTTTGGACATATTCACCTTCTTCCCCTGGGAGATCTCACAGCACTTAAGGAGAACCCACATAGTATCCAATTGCTCCGGGTGGCATTGCAATAAATAATGGTGTCACAGGCATCCAAAAGGTGGTACCTAAGGCCCCCTCCTAGATGATCGAAAGCCTGTAACAGTCCTCTCTCATAGAACTGGGAGATGGATTGGGAGAAGACTTCAGCCACACTTGCAAATAGGAAGGGAGAGAGTGTCTCCCTTGTCGCTTCAAAGAAAGCTTCTGGGGACCTGTTAATTAGGAAAAATGAAACAGAGTGATGTAATTCATCCTTGGACACAAGCAGGCCACTGCTGATCGAGTGCCATTTCTCCAAGGGCTTCATCTAGCACAGACCAATCAACATGGTTCTATGCCTTCTAATCTAAGCTGACAACCAGAATGGCCTGATAGAAATGGAATGGACTGTCTGTGTGCCAAAATGCCCCATTAAAGATTTGCCTAGTCGCTATCAATGCCGATTGAGGATATGAAACAACCTTGTTGAGAACCTCCTTCAGGCACGAAGCTAGGACCTTCGTAAGAATTTTAAAAGAGCTGTTCAGTACGCTTTATCAGGCGGAAGTCCCTTAGATGTTCAACGCCTTCCAATTTGGTACCAAAGCAAAGGGAGTGGCACTCATTCCTCTATGCATCCTCCCTTTGTGGTAAAATTCATTAAAAAAGGGCCAGGATGTGTGGAGTAAATGCATTGCAATGGTTGCTAAAGATTGCAACCAAAAAAACCATCCGGTCCCTATGCCTTGTCCTGGCCTAGCTCTGTTATTGCCCTCCTAATCTCATCTTCCAGAAAGGCCTTTCAAGCTTTGCCTCCTCTATGGTTAAGGGAACCAATGCTGGACATCGTAAGTTTGGGACCCATTTTTCTGGAGAAACATTTTTTGAAGTATCTAATGATAATCGTCTTCACTTGTTGAGGATCATCAACTGTTAATTTCCAAAGGTGAATTGGATAATCAAATTGAACGTACATTGGCAGTCGACCTAATTTATAGAAGAAGATTGTGTTTCTATCACCAACCTTTAGGCACAATCTTTGACACCAGTAAATTTCTTCCTGTTTAAGGATGGTTTGGAGGCTGTTTTTTGCTGACATTCTTTGCTCCCTATCTTGGAGGGTTAGAGTTCTAGATCCTCCTATGGTGTCTTAGGCATGGATATCCTGCCTCATGGACTCTTTCCTATCATGCAAATTTCCATGTGACTAC